CCACCAGGTGCCCAGCCCTGACATTGAAATACCCCCATTTATTAAAATCAGCTAATTAAAAGCGATCCATAGTTAACTATGCACTGCATAACAATCAAATTAGTATTTTCCGTTTTGTGCAAGCTGTTCTATAGAACCATTCATGACACTATATTGCAACTTGCATAAAATAGGAAAAACCTACTAAAAAAGTTTATTATTTGGATACCACACAAACTGAATGCTAGTCAGCTAGATTAGCAAGCAGATCTCTGCATGAAATTCTTGACTTCGCATAAGTACAAGAAAGGTCAACTATCAAAACCACCTCTAAAAGTCAACCTACACTCCAAAAATGTGTTGGTTATGGCTTGGTGAGGGGTTGGCAGTATTTTGTATTAGGATTTGCCTCTACTAAACACTATAATTACAAGAATAACCACATGTGTTCACCATAACAAGCTTTAAGTGGAACATATAAAACCCCATTGGATAAAACAAAGTTGATTTTTTTCATGAAAATCCAAAATTGATGCAATAAAAATTATTGGAGCTCGGCTAAGAAATGTTGCCTCATTCTCCCTCTTAACGCCAAAACTTACTTGTTCAGATCACTAAGCATCAGCTTACACTATGAAGATTTGATGACAAGGTGGCATATCTTCTGCACCTAAATCGATCCTTCGGTTCAAAATCAATAGAGAAGCATGGAAAAGATATTTTTTTTTTTGTCTAAGCATATTTTTAAAAAAGATATATTGATATTATTTTTTTTAGGAAACAGTTGGTAACAGTCATTCTAAACTGTCTAAAAAGTTTTAATAAATGTAATATAATATTTGCTAAATACTTTTAGATAAGATCTAAAACAAAATATATAAATATAATTAAATTATAATTCAAAATTTTATAATTACCTATGCAACAGCAGGTCTTTTGGCACCCTTTAACAATACCATGAATAGTTTTTACCACACACTCACAATATTCTTTACAAGAGAGAAATATTCCGATTTCTTCATTTAAAAACACATCAGAACATTGAAAGTATCCTATTGGTGTTACCAGTCTTAATAGTGTAGTAATTAATATAAGAAGAAACAATTTTGAACATAAACTGTGATCCATCTTATCTATTAATCTAAAATACAGTGAGTTTATAATATTATCTGGACATAATGTTGTATGTAGTATAAAATTGACAAAATGGAGATGATGTTCTATACCTCTGAGGTACAGATATAATTTTTTGAAATATAATTTAAAAAAATTATAATCAATCTGCAAAATGATTTGATAGCTATGATTTATAAAAAAGGCAAAGACAATATCACGCAACTTGGATTGTTGCCAGGAAAGAAATCATAAAGTGCAAAAAAATTTTTTAAAATTTCAAGAAAAAGTTTTTTAGGATATGATAAGATATGTTTTAGATGTAGTATAACATTTTTACAAAATTGTTGTAAAAGAAATCAAAACATTTTTAAAAACAAGATTCAGAGAGTTTTGAGGTAAAAGTTGATGTATTTTAGGTTTATTGGTCAATTTATTGCTTTAATTGGCCTGCAAACTATCTTCAAAGAGTATACTGTTGGTTTACCATAGGACCTAATCTATGCAAATGATTTATAATTGATTGTAAAAGACAAAAGAAATATTAATACCGAGTTAAGTTTAGGAAAAATAAAAAAAAGTATAAGAACTGCACAAAAGAAAAACCTATTTTTTTGCTTTACAATAACCATGAGTCCAATTTTTCTCTCAACCCAATCAATTATTCATAAATAGTGTTACGAAGTAGTTTATGTCATATCCACCAAACACATACTATAAACTCCAATCCCTTGATGGTCTATGGACCATTCAAGGCAAATTAAAGGAAAATCTCTAATAACGTAGTCTCTAATAACTTAGGCAAACTAAAGGAAAATCTTTAATAACTTAGTAAGGAAATTCTTTAATAAGGAAAATCCAGCCATCAAAAGGCTACTTTTTATTGACTTAAAAAACTTTAAAAGCTTAAAAAACTCTATGGCAGCCTTATTAAAATAAATTGATCAAGCAACACTAGTATTTTCTCAAACTAATATTTGCATTTCTTTAGCCTGATAATCGAGCCAGAATTCTTATCACTATCCTAAGAACTAGGATAGCAATAACTTAATTTTTCTGCATATTGATAAACTAGTTTTCTAACTTGAGTTAAAGTATTATAAAGTGGAGTTGTAAAAAAAAAGTACCGGCTCCAATCTTTAAAATGTTCAAATTACGACTCAGACTCTAACTCCAAATTAAAATTTTTGAAAAATTGTTTGAGTTCTTAAAACAATATTACGCGATAATTAAAAAATTGTTTTTTGCTAAATATATGAGAAGTTCTTCAAAGGATAAATATTTTGTACATGCACATGCTATACCGATGAGTTTTACTACTAGAATAAGAGTCTCGATTTTTTCTAATTTTATTAAAAATAACTTTTTTGTTCAAAAGTATTAAAAATTATTTAAATACAAAAACTTATAATCTTGTCAAGACAAACTTATTTTTTTATTAAATAAATATTTTGAATGAACATGAATAAATTTGCTATAAAATTTCAAGTTGCTACATGTGATTATGTACTGTTACGCATGTTTTAAAAATATGTTTAAAAAAAAAAGAAAGGCATAAACACTTTTAATTAAACAAACTTTCTAGTTGTTATTATTGCTGTTTTTTTAAAAACAATGAAACTCTATGTACTTCTGCATTAATTTAATTCTTTTAATTTTTTGGCAACAATGAAAAGTAGCTTAATTGTTAAAGTCACTTAAATATTTTTAAAAGAAATTTTTTTTACCATTAAAGTCTATTTCAACTATGATATAAGGACTAGGGGATCTAGGAGACGGGCTCATGTGTTTTACATCTAGGAGGGAAAAAATGTTGGAGCCATAATAACCAATTAGAATTAAGTTGTGGATGATCTAAGTAAAGGATCCCCTTCCTCAGGCATGCATCATAATCACCAATAATGTTTTGGGGAGCCCTAGACCTGCACTAACGCAGGTCTTGGGCTAACACCAACTAACCAATCTCACCTCCAGCACTCTACACCGTGCTAGTTAATATTGCAATAAAATAGGATTACACAACAAAAGCCAAAAGTCCCAAACCCAGTTTTTAATACAGCTCCAACATTTTCAGAAATCTTGTGAGGGTGGAGAGGGATGCGCGTGGTGTAACCATGAAAAAATATTTAAATACTTAGACATATAAATATCATATACACTTATAATAAAAGCGACAAACATGTACACATAGACTTATGCTCATGTATTTAAGTAAACAATTTAAATGTATAAAAGTAACACAAAACAAAAAGAAATATTTAATTAACAATAAAAAGTAACTTACTGTTTCTTTTTTCGTTGTAATTTGTTTTATAAATATAATAAGTAAATACCACTCCTAAACATCAAAACTAAGTAATGATGGTTTGTAGTTAGTACGAAAGTAGTTAACAGAAAAGATAGTAGATTATGGAAACTCCAATAGTATGAGAAATACAGCTTGTCAAACCAAATAGAATATCAGGGGTAAAATATACTCCAAAAAAGCACAAAAAAAATATACATATTTAGAAAAGCATTATCTTACCTGATAATTACAATAATAATTTGTGACATAAATGCTAGATGCAGAGTGAGACTCATTCAATGAGCTTATGCGGTGAAGTATATATGTATATATATACATATATATATATATATATATATATATATATATATATATATATATATATATATATATATATATATATATATATATATATATATATATATATATATATATATATATATATATATATATATATATATATATGTATATATATGTATATATATATATATATATATATATATATATATATTTATATATATTTATATATATATATATATATATATATTTTAGACATATATACCCATGTTTATATATATATATATATATATATATATATATATATATATATATATATATATATATATATATATATATATATATATATATTTATATATATATATATATGTATATATACATATATATATATATATATATATATATATATATATATATATATATATACATATACACCCATTTATATATATATATATATATATATATATATATATATATATATATATATATATATATATATATATATATATATATATATATATATATATATATATATATATATATATATATATATGTATATATAGATATATATATATATATATATATATTTATATATATATGGGTATATATGTATAAAATATATATATTTATATATATTTTTTAGTCGTTTTGAGAACATTCAAGTTTATGTATGTTTCCTTGTTTGTCCGCAAAATAATAAGTTCATTTTATTGTAAATTATAAAATACACCCATTTATATATATATATATATATATATATATATATATATATATATATATATATATATATATATATATATATATATATATATATATATATATATATATATATATATATTTATATATATATATATATGTATATATATATATATATATATATATATATATATATATATATATATTTATATATACATGGGTATATATGTATAAAATATATATATTTATATATATTTTTTAGTCGTTTTGAGAACATTCAAGTTTATGTATGTTTCCTTGTTTGTCCGCAAAATAATAAGTTCATTTTATTGTAAATTATAAAATATTTTGTTTTACGGATTTACGTGGAAACATGCATAAACTTAAATGTTCTAAAACATCTTAGGGGCTCATTACATGAGTAAAAATCAGCCCGGGCTAGGTTTCAGCCCACTTATGCGGGCTGAAATTTCCCCCCGCCTAACACTTTGTTTTCTTATAAATTCAAATTTAGTATTATATGATGAGCGGGATGAAATTCCCCCGGGATCAATATCCTAGCCCGTTTTATAAAACCGAGGCAGGATTTTCAGCCCTGACAATTTCCATTATTAATGTAAAATTAAAGATGGCTGCACTAAAACCAGTAAGTGAAGTAAAGATAAAAGAAAGCGTAGAAGTTCGATTTCGTTGGGATAAAGACAATAAAATTTCAAATTTAATTCATAGTTTATCAAATTTTAAATCTCAAATGGAATATAATAACAAGGATTTTAATGCTGACAAATCAAATCAGTACGAAAGTTGTAGAAATGCTTTGGCTAACATTTACTGTCATGAGCCAAGTTGGTTTGGGCCTGTTTGTCCTTATGACAATATCTTATCCGAACAAAATAAAATTGATATAACTCTTATTAAAAGAGGTTATACTAGAGTTCAAGAAAAAATCAAAGAAATTCGTCAGAATTTTTCATTAGCTGTAACATCAGGTCGAAGGAGTGGAAGTGGAAAAATACTTCTTGAATTTTATGATCATCTAGTTCAAATATGGGGTGGATCTCCATCTATAGAACCGTTATTTTTTGGGAAATCAACGTATGATGTTAATAAGGAAATTATGGATAATAACAAAAGTGTAGAAAATTTAACATGTAGCACTGAAGACACCACAGTTAAAAATACAGATAATGTAAATCTATGTTCAAGTTCTTGCAGTATTAAGGACAATAGTGTAGTTGATTTTTCTTTATTATTACAGAGTCCAGAAACTTCATCTGTTGATAGTGATATCTCAACTAAAAAAAAGAAACGTAAAAATGACAATAATGAAATTGTTCCAAAATTTATTGACAATAAGCGACGACACATTGCAGAGACAATTGAGTGCATCATAAAGAGATCAAATTTTGTTGAATGAAGCAAAAGAAGATGCTCAATTTAAAAGAGATATCGCTGAAGCCATAAGACATTCTAATGAAACATTCTCAGC